GAGGAGGTGCAGGGAACCAGGGATGCCCCCTTGCTCCTGCCCCTCTCTCCCTTTCCCCCTCCCTCCCTCCTTCTGTCCCTGCACTGGCCCAGCAGCCTGCCTCAGCCCTTCTCCCATCATGGAGCCACTCAGCTCAGGCTCTGGCCCTGCCCATCCTGCGGGAGGAGCCTGCGCAGTTTCTTGCAGACTCAGAAGCGGCTGTGGAGAAGATGGTGGCGTTTGTGCTTTAAGGCTGATGTACTCCGTCCACCTCCCATCAACGAAGGCTGAGGGTCGCTGCAGGCGCTGAAGTCCTTGTGGACGTCTCTGCTCTAGAGCCTCTCACAGCAGAGAATCTGCGTCCAGGGAGGCTGTGCAGTCGAGGCGCCACGTTCCTTTCAGAAGAAACTGAGGATCGATCTGAGCCTGTGGGCAGTGAGGAGGGACCAAGAGGTCTGCCCTCTGCCCCTTGCCAGTCCCCAATCCCGCCCTGCCACCACCCAGCCAGTTCCCCATGTTTCCCCATTGGCCATCCAGTAATCAGAGCTTGCGGACTGGAGGGAGGGACCAAGAGGTGGCCAGTGCACCTCATAGCGACTGGTCGATCGGTCATTCTGGTCATGATGCCTAGCCTTTTATTATATAGGATGCCCCTGTCTGTTAGCCTTTAGCAATGCTAAAGCAATCAGGTATCTTCTCTACTGGATAAAGCTGTCATTTTCAGAGACAAATGGTCTGCAATGATGCTATATTTATCCATAAGATTGTGGGCAAATTTTCATTAAAAAGTTCTGAATTATTTAAAAGATGTATGAACTTTCCAAAAATGTCTGCGTTTCTAACTATGGCACCCACTATTTTACTATTTAGAAATAGATCCCTGCCTGTTCTCTCGGACATTAGTAGCTGCCAGTAGAGTATGCTGGAGTTTGGAAAGCTGAACTTCAATCCTCTACCATCTGTAACCAATGCAGTAGCCTTGTGTAATAATGTAATTAAGAAATATAGCACATAGCATCATTATCAACATTTGTATTGCAGGGAATTATAGAATAAAATTAGGAAATAACACATGATGTTAATATCTCTCTATCTAAAAATACAGCACAGAGTATAATTGGTGCTCCTCATTGTAATACTTGTGGTTTCATATATTTGCTCTGTTGTGCCTGGGACCTTGCACAAAATTTTCTTTCTGCCTGATATGAGTCCTCTCTCTATTCAGCTTTCTGTTCTGGCTAATTGACTAAGTCTTGAGGACTAAGCTTTATAATAACTTCCTCAACTTTCAATCCCTCCACATTGTGTTCTTCATCAATGTATCCAGTGGGCTACACCAGTTCCCAGCACATGTGAGCTCTCAACACATGCTTGTTAAGTAAATGAAAGCCTAGGTGGCTTTTCCTCCTATTTTTCCCCATAGCACCTTGGGCTTACCTGTGCCAAGTAACTTTTGCTCTATATTCTAATAACTTGTGCATTTGTTTTCTCAAAATGAACTTTTTATGATAGGGCTTAGTTCTTGTTCACCAATTTGTCTCCACACTAGCACAGCATGTGGCACACCATAGGTGCTTAATAAATGCTGGTGGAATAAACAATGGGTGGACTTTTGTGGGTCCCTTGGGTTCAGAAATGTCCTGGCCATCCATCTCAAACTCCCTTCTTCTATGGGTTCTAAATACTTCGTGTACATCTTAGGAAGGTGCTCTCTGTGTTAGGATTATTGTTTAGTTTCATTTGAAAAAAAGTGAGGAGAAAGATTCTCATGAAAATGTCTTTGACAGAAATTGGTACCAGAAATCTTAGACACAAAAGGTTTGTGAGTAAATGTACTCTCCATACAAACGAAAGTCTTTATGCATTTTTTCTACGGGTTAGTCAGAGGTAAATAAAAATTACCTACTGATTGAAAGAAAAGAAGCATGGTATAGTGAAAAAACGGCAGTAGATTCAGGAGGGTGTGGGCCTCGTCCTACTTCTGCCTCTAGGATATTCCATCTCAATGAAAATGTCTCCTTAACTTCAGAATAACTAGGGGAGTGACAAGAGCTTTTGTCTCTAACAGCCATGTCAGACGTTTCTTTTTCTCAGTTTATGTTTTGTAATTCACATTTAAAACATTTTTATCTCAACTTTGGTTATATTTAGGCTCATGATAAGTAAAACCACATTTCAGGAAATACCTTTTTTTCCTTTTGTTTAAGGCACAGTTTCCATGTATTCTGCCCTTTCCCTCCTTCACATGCCCTGTCTGCCTCCCTTATACCCGCTTTCCTATCTTTGTTCCTCAAGGGAAGTTGCATTTGGATATTTTTAATTCATTTCCAGGTGATTCCAAAAATATTATATTGTTAGAATGACTTGTTATTTAAAATGCCAGTTCTTTAAACCTATGGAAAGGATGACTGAAGTTGATAGCTTTGTGTTTTAGAAGATATTTTATTTCACTAGCGCCCCTACAGAGCGCTCTTGATTTGGGCTGTATCTTCTGATCCTAACACATAGAGATCCTGCCATCTTGTTCTTTTTTTTTTAAATTCTTTATTGTTTAAAGTATTACATGAGTCTCCTTTTTCTCCCCCATTGACCTTTCCTCCACAACCCTCTCCCAAACACAAGCCCTCCCCCTCCCCCCGCCCCCCGCCACGTTCTGTGTCCATTGATTTTGCTCATATGCACGCATACAAGTCCTTTGTTTGATCATTTATCCCCTCAATGCCCCCCCCCCACCACCACCACAAGCACCACCACTGCCTTTCCTCATAGGTTGTACAGTCTGTTCAATGCTTCTATGTCTCTGGTTCTATTTTTGTTCATCAGTTTATGTTGTTCATTATATTCCACAAATGAGTGAGATCATGTGATATTTATCTTTCTCTGACTGGTTTATTTCGCTTAGCATAATTCTCTCTAGTTCCATCCATGCTGTTGCAAATGATAATAATTCCTTCTTTTTCTTGTCCACTTGGCCTTGTACCGCATTTGTAATCCTCTCTGTGAGGTGTTGGTTTCCTCTGTATTTTCCACCTGCCATCTTTGTCTCCATACTCCTCCTCCTCAGAGCTTCTCCTCACCAGTGCTGTCCATGTCAGTGACTCATGAATGGCACTTATAGCCATGCGTCCGTTCTGCGTGGTCTTTGAAACAAACGGTGTTGTGTGAGTTGCTCCTTTCCTCTGCGGCAGAGTTGAAGAGGACCTGCCTGACACCGTGGGAAGAAGCAAGCCTTATAGGACTCCTAGTGATTTAGTTACATTTGATCATCAAGAAAGCCACCAGTTATCACCGTGCCTTAGCATAAGAGTGCATGTGTCCAAACAAACAGGGAAAACCATTGCACTCCAGCTCCAGGGAAACCAAGCACCCTCTTCAGTGAGCACCTAAGGACTGCGCTGCAGCATCTCACCGTTAGCCCTCAGAGGCCATCCGTCCAGACTGCAGATGCTGGCCCCTCCAGAGAGCATCTGTAACAACAAGCAGTATGTCACCTCATCCGCTTGTCCTTAGCCAGCCAGGCATAGAGGGAGGGCTTATTAGGACAAAAGGACTGGTCTGTCACTCAGAAGATCCAGTTGGAAGAACGTACAGCATTCCTTCTACTCTCGTTGTCCTAATGAGGGGAGATAGTGTAGCAAGTTCAACCATAAAAAGCCGTTTATCTGAAGTAATTTTCCAGCCATCTCTATATGCTTTGAGTTAAATTCCTCACAGTTAACGGGGTTTATGTGGATTTGATTTTTCCTTATAGTTTATCTTTTAGTTTAAGTATAACTATCTTTCCTCTTTTGTTATCATATCCATTGAGCTTCCTACAAGCTTGGAGCATGTGGAAACATCTCAACTGCAGCATATTAATTTTTGTTGTGAAAACCATGTTTGAAAAAAAATTACCATTTTTAAGTTTTTAGGAATACCAGCACTTTATTTCTAGCTTAATTTTGTTTAGAAATGAGCATGCTTTTTAAAAAATCCCCTCAAAGTGCTTTATAGTATACATCACTTTTTTAACTAAAGTAGATTTATTTTTTATGTTTTAAACTTTTTGTTTCCACAAGGCAAAGAGGGTTAGAGTGGGATCCAGTCCCAGAAATACCCTGCTTAGCTCCTTGATTTTGAACCCTTCACTCAGCATTCTTCAATTTATGCATTAAATTGGTCTGAGGATGTCTTTTCTCAAGTCATCGTGAAAAACTAATGAAATGAGATAATATATGTGAAAGTTCTTGAAAGGTTAACAAAGAGGATCCGCAAAGAGTTAGAAACAAAAGTAAACTTATTCACACTTATTTAGTTATCATTTAAACACATATGGTGTTCTAGAGTTTATCGTTTCCTGGTATCTCAGAATTTATTTCCAAATGTCTCCCGCATGTAAGATGAAAATATAATTTATCCAGACTAACAAGTTGTTTGACAGTTTTGGTCACCAGTGTTCAGATGAACTTGTGATATATGTTTAAATTATTTTAAATGTCAGTGATTTAAACTGCAGTGATTACCACCATTCAATGAAGTGCTAGGAAAAGGCACAGTAATGGAGAATTAACTAATAACATACAAGTAAGGTGCAAAAGATTTATATAAACATTTGGATTTGGAAAAAGGCAGGTTAATGACCTGTACACTTTCCCTAAAATATTCTTAAGTCCATGTATTAGATCCGCAAACACATTTATAGAATACAGACTTAGTGACTTTTTCTTAATCTTATTGTAAGAACACATTTACAAAACATTTTATACTACACATTTAGCGTTCTGTCCTAAGATTTTGTCAGCTCTTCTAGGTGGTTATATGCTTATGTGACCTAAAATTCCTGTTGCCTTGAAAAAAAAAAAACTTACCTCCTTCACTGTAAGAAGTTGCCCATCTGTTAATCTCACAAACATCAACTGAGATGCTGGGGGATGGTAAAGTTTTGGTGTCGCTCCTAGGTGACTCTCCTCCATGACTCTCTTCTTTCCTTCTTTCTTCTCCCTCTCCTGACTTTGTCAACCTCTCCTCCTCTTTGCCTCTAGGGAGAAGCCCCCAGTGGAGGACAGTCATTGAAACACTACATGGAAGAAGTGAGTTTTAAGGTGGCCTGTAAACACAGTCTGAAAACAGTCTATCTATCATATAGGATGAAACCCTCACATGGGCTTTCTCCATCCACCTGTAGGGTTTCCAGTCTATGCCCACTCTTTGGTCATGCCCACAGAAACAAGATAACAAATAATGGTATAAAAATGGCTTTTGGTCCTCATTGGTAGGGAGATACGGTGTGTCAATTCATCCTGAAAATGAAGGTATAAACCTAGGGCTATTATGTATTTTCACTCATAAACATTTGCTGATATCCTAGTAAATGAAAAACACATGCTTTTTGTTGGCCATGTCCAAAAAAGTAAGACATGATCATTGCTCTTATGACAAGAACAATCTATACCAACTGTCTTAACAATTTAAATATGTAGATATTTGTGGAAAACCCATTTAGACTTCTGATTTATTTGGAAGATATCCGAGGGTGCTCTGCATCACATGCTGTGTCTTCGTGCAGTTTGCAAATGGAATTTGGGGACTTTCAGGTAAATCAGTGCATAGAGTCCGTAAAACTTGATCTGAAACCAATCCACCGAGGTCACTAGATTAGCCACCTGAATTGTTGCAGGTGAAGGGATCTGGGAGACAACTTGGTGATGATGTCATGGAAGCACCAAGTATTTTGTTCTCAGCAAGACAATCTGTGTCTCTAATTAGTCTATCCTCCCATGCACGAATCCATTCAAAAACAATTTTGATTGCCCTACTAAATGTACTGTGTAGTCCGTTGATTCATTCAGAATACTGAACCTGTACTGAAACTCACTTTTACTTCTAGATATCACTTGGAAAGAAAAACCAGAGTGAATAGCACCCCTTTAAGTCTCTAACATTCTGAGTTTTATGCTTGTTTGGAGGTGGTTGGAATTTTGTGAAAGGTACATGGAGAAGGAGTAATGAAGAAAAAAAAAGGGAATAGCTAGGCAGATGTTTTAAGTTCAGGTTAGAAAAATCAAAATATATGGGGCAAAACATTGGAGGATTAGAGCACCAACTTTAAATTTCCACTTAATGAATTTGATACAAAAATTGAATAGAATACATTAAGCAATTAATGTTGCCAAGAAGAGGCAGACACTGTTTTCAACATGTATATCAACAGAATCTCGCTTTAGGATTCTGTTTGCTCAAGCTCTTGGCTCAGCATCCCACTTGCTGGTAGGGTGCCTTGTAATGTGTCCTGTATAGGTCTAGCACTGTGGAGGAAAGGGAGCATTGCAGTGTTGATATATGAAACGGGCTGCATATAGCTGATAGAACTTTCAAAGTGTCTTATATTAATTTTGCAGTTCTAAAACAACAACAAAAAAAGATCCTTATTTTCCTCTCATCATTACAAATGTGCAATCCAAATGTACATGTTGTACGCAATTGTAAATGCTCAATGTGACATGAAGGCTGAGAATGTGTACCTTCTTAGTGTGGTCCTCAGACTAGCAATATCATCATCACCTGAGGTCTTGTAAAAAATGCACAATCTCAGGGCTTAACACCAGAGCCAAAGAATCAAAATCTGCATTCTAACAAGATCCCCATGTAATTCATAAGCACCCTAAAGTTTGTGGGCACAACCATAAAGTGTTCTTTCCAATGTTATTTCTAGAGAGGAATTTCATACAGCATGGGAAAAAAATCAATGTTATATAATATAGGTAGAGGAACATTTTGTTAATAAATTTATGAGTTTTGTTTATTCGTCTACTCTGAGGAATAGATGGTTGATTCAGGGTATAAAACCTCAGGATCTTACGAGATTCATTACTGACTTTCAGTTTGAGTTTACAAGTATGTGTGAACTGCCCAAGGTAAGCCTCGCCTTTCTTAGGGGTTCAATTTCACGTAGTATTTTTTATCTAATGTTGGTTGATATTTAGCTTTTAGCTCTTTTTAAAATCAATAAATGATCATTTTTACAGTAAAACTAAGTTTGATCTTAATTAGTGAACTACTGATTTACTGAAAGTTCTTTCAGACATTAATTATTGGATCTTTAGGAAATATATTCAAACTCTCCTGTATTGCGAACAAGTTAAAAATGTGAGCCAAAAATTGATAGTTTTTGTTTTTTTCCCCACTTATGCTCTTATTTCACTTTTCCCTCTTTCTCATATTCCTAGAATCAGCAAACATTAAGGAGCAGTGTGTGTGTGTGTGTGTGTGTGTGTGTGTGTATGTATATATATATATATATATGCCAGAAGCATTGAAGTTAAAACTGAGCTAGCAAACATTTGCTTTTATTTAGTATACATTAAAACTCAAATAAACCATAGTGTTTACATTTTTAATATATTTAACATTTCTTGCTAAAGTTTGAACAACTCTTTGCAGATCAAAGTCTCTGGTTTTCTTATTTATTTAGTCTTATAATTAGTCAGAATCATAACCACATGAAGTTAGACAATTCTGTTTAGACCTAACTCAAAACTAAAGACACAATATAGTCTCCTCAAAAAAATAAAACATTTCTGGTCCATATTTTCTGTTGTTTAATGTGTAATTTTTCCAGAATACACTTTATATTTTTGACCAAATAAAAAACAACAAGGTATTTCATCATAATCTACTTTCCCTAATCTTCAAAATTGTTCTGACAATTTTTAAAAAATTACGTATTCTTTACTTGCAAGGTACTTAGTAACTCAAGGCAGAAATAATAATTTCACTTTGTAAAAAGTTTAGTGTTTGGAATCATAATATCAGCATCCATTGTACACACACACACTCACAATTTAAAATAACTTATCAAAATCAAGGACTTCCAAAACTCACTATGCCTTTTGTAGAGAAGCTGGTCTTTTTTAAAATCATATTTCTTTAGACGAATAACTGAGAGCAGCATAATATACTAGTTAGAAATTCCCTACTTATTAGAGAAATGTGTTAATTTAAACATCCATAAATCAGATAAACATAGTGAAATTAAATGGTTGAAGGCCTCTGAAGAACTAAAGACTGAAGTTGATGATTTTTAAAACATTCTAAAGAACCACCGAGAGCAGTTCTTCACAACCTCAGGAAGTTATTTGGTGAAGGCTGGAGGCAACATACACAGGAGTGTGAACTAGCTGCAGGTGTCAGGTGTCAGCTTCATAATCTCTCAGGGTGTCAGGCAGGAAAAGAAGCCTGTTAAGTGACAGACCTTTTTCAAATCTGTGGAGGTTGGTTTTTCCCACTGTACCACCGATTCTATGTTACAAAATATCTTAGAATCACTTCTCCTGCCAATTGTGTCTGTCTTTTCCCTGTTTTATATTCTGTGATTGTTAATGCAATGAAATTCCAACTGTACTTCTGAAGGAGAGTGCATGACATTGTTCTTCTATAATAAATAAGACGTAATGGACTTTTTATCATGCACAGGGATTTACTTTTTAAAAATTGAAATAACTATTATTTAGTATCATGCTTTTATTCCACTTAGTACACTAGGAAACAAGGAATTTTTTTTTTTAAAGGAAACTCACCTGTCATTGATATTCACTAAGAATTAATGCATGTAGTTAAAGGATAACATTTTTTTTAAAGTTATAATCCTGGTTCTCATCTATACTAATAAAATGATAATATGCTAATTAGACTGGGAGACCTTCCGGACATCCTTCTGGACAAAGCCATGGTGGCGGGGCCGAGGCAGAGGCGGTTAGGGGCAATCAGACCAGGAGGGGAGGGCAGCTGGGGGTTATCAGACCAGCAGGGGGGCAGTTGGGGACAAGCAGGCCAGCAGCAGGCAGGTGAATGGTTAGGAGCCAGCGGTACCTGTGGGATCAGGCCTAAACTGACAGTCGGACATCCCCTGAGGGGTCCCAGATTGGAGAGGGTGCAGGCCAGGTTGAGGAACACCCCCACCCCGTGCACAAATTTTGTGCACCGGGCCACTAGTACAGATATAAAATGATTGTATGTCAAAGATTTATTCAACTCATTAATTAATGAAGAAACCAATAAGATATTGCAACAAATTCAAAGGAGATTTCAAACCCTCACATATAGTTAAATAAGGAATCTTGAAGTGAAGTTATAAATAAATGCAAAACCTAGCAAAACTAATTTATATCCATAGGATAATAATTAGTTGCATTTAAATTGACATAATTTGCATGTATGTGGACAAGAATTATTTGTACTACTATACCAGTAAATTTTTATAAATTACATAGTTGTAAAATGGATCAAAGTCAAGTGAATGACTCCAAACCTATATCAAATGAGCTAATTGGAAGGGCAGGCTAGAAAAATTGTTAGAGGTCCAAATTCTCTGAAAGGCCAAGACTCAAAATACCAGAGTTTGTTGTAAGGGAAGGCTTATTGATTGAGTTGCCAATTAAGAAGGTAGGGGTGCTAGCAGTTTCTCAAATTCGTTTTAAGAAAGTACAGAATTCAGGCTTCTTTTATGTCAAGGGATGGGATGGGGTGGAGGGGGGGAATAGGAGGGGCTATTTCTGTAAAAACTCAAGCCCCAAGCAGAATTTCTGTAATGATTAGCATCTCTAAAGCAGACACTGTTAGCCTGAAGACCACTGAAACAATGTAGGTGTGAACAAGATGGAGTCATAGACACCCAGCATTTCACTGTTAGAAAATGACTTAGCTTTCATTGACTACACTCAGTAGTGTTTCATTCATTTCAGAGCTTTGTACAACTTTATCCTACAGTTTATTTTGTAATGTTTTTCACAATTTACCATATTTTTTCTAACTTTATTATTGACCCCTCTCTTTTCTTTTCCAAAATCCTATTAATTCAAATTTATAGTTTTCCCAAACTTATTACTTCCCTTCTTGGGTTTCAATTGCCCTTTTGCAATCCTCATAAGAAATAAGCTACAGAAGTATAATTAACTAAAAATTGATGGATTTCAGCCTGATAAGACAGGACATTTCATTAACAAATATAAAGTTGTTTTCAAACTTTATTTATTTAAATATGTAAATTATATGTTTCATTTTAATGGAAGTAGAGGCCCGATTCTTTGTCCGA